TTGCTTCATTAAATCATGATGGCATGGAGACGTAATTTTGAGAGTCATTAAGGATATTTTTGGAAGACCAAGTCTTAAACTCACCGTAGAGCCGTCACGTAGGATTTGCGACTTCGTATTTATAAGTATAGATTATAACAAAAACTCAATTATTTCTCCATTTAAATGCAAATATGAATGTACATGATATGAATTCTTCCCGACAATCTCTCCTCTACTCTCTCAAAGTACCCTTGTTTGTTCGTGTCTCTTCTCACCACTTTCCAGTACATTTCCCTTGCTTTTATATTGCTCATTTGCATCCAATACATGTTCCATTACATACGTAGTTTATCAAGAAATACGAAATTCTTAATAACAACTGAAACTCTTGTTCTTTTACACCGTAACCAAATGAGATACAATACAATTATCATGGTTTTGATCCAGACAACTACTCGTGGTTTAAATATTCGTTTGATACAATTATCATGGTATCAAACGAATATAGAAGGGTTTAACTATGATGACCAATTCCTCCTATGATTAACTTACAAACAAATTTTATTTTCATCAAGACAAGTATCTTATATTTGGTCTTCTCTCTCCGTTATGGACCTCCTCTGCATCGTGTTCATCTCACAGTGAGGTTCAAATTAAACCAAAACACTTCCTAACTCAGTCCAATTAGCCTAGAAATTGATTTATTACTAAACTATTAACTATATTCAATGCAGAGCTAAACTAAAGATATTATCCATGGTGCTGATAAAGGAACCCATGTATACTTGAAGAGTTTTCGCCGTAGAGTAATTTGAAAGCCTTCTTTGGCCTTATATCATGTATGATATGATATGTGGCCATTTGTTTGATAATGTCATATTTGGAACTGATTTGTTTTTTCAGGTGTAGCCTTAGTTTTGTGTCAATTAGAGCCTGTTCTTAACGGTTGCGATCGAGAAGACGATGACTCCTCAAGGAAAGCTGTGATGCGATAGGTGGAGTTCGAAGACAGTCCATAGAAATGAGTCGCGAAAGACCAAAGAAGATAAGGATAAAGATGATGATGGTTACAAAAGTGATTAGAACTTCAAGCTTCTCTATTTAGCTTAATTGTTGCTAAATAAAAAGTCCCGACTTCATAGGTGATGTAGTTGCTTTTTAAACATGTTTTTATGAAACCAGAATCTAACAACTAGTGTAAGGTGAATCATGATAATATATGGTTACCTCGTATAATCGTTTTTCCTGAGTGATTCCTCCCAAATGTGTTCATATGTTCTCGCACCTCTGCTCTTTAATTTGACCTTCAAATGATGATTATGAATCATACCCTAATTTGTGTTCTTCAGATAGTTGTTCTTCTCATGAAATTCCTTGAACGTTGAACTAAGCTGAG